TGACATTTGTAATGAAGGGCTGAATGTGTTGAGTTAAGTTCTTCGACATCATGAACATCGATTTTCACCTCTTGGTTGACTTTATGTTGATCACGTAAGTGTGAATTGACTTTCTTTTCTATTTCATCACCGACCGACTTTTTATCATCTTTCAGCGATTTATGATCACAATTTTTAACAATCAATGTACCCTCAAGAGTCTTGTCGTCTTTGGCGACAATATGATGTGATTCGTGATTAATTTCCACTGTTTTCTTGACGTCTTTTTCTTTTGTCACAGTTTTGTCTTCCTGATGTGGTTCATGTTTATGATCATCTTTCGGTTTCTCACCAGTAGCTGGGGCTGTCTTCTCGTCATGATCTTTTGGTTGCCTGCTGTGATCGTCGGGTTTCGTGGTTGTTGGCTTTTTATCGTCTGATTGGGGTTTCTCGTGCTTTTTTTCGGTGGGCGTCTGCTCATGGTGCTCTGCGGTTTTCGTTGTTACTGGTTTGGGGGTTGTGTGTTTGTCAGCGCTTGGTTTTGTGTCTTTTTGAGAAGATGTTTCGGTTGCACTTTTAGTGACATGCTTGCTGAAGCAGTCATTGACCTAAGCAGAGTAAACGTTTATTTGAGATACTTCATCGTGAGTTTAGCGTATTAAGCCTTTGCTTTTGTGATATCCTATTCAAAATACTAGTCGACGACTAGATTAACTTCGGAAGAAGGTTTTTGCTGTGAATCATGCTCCGATGACTCAATTCCCAACATATGCGTCTTTGCTACGCATCTCGTGACATGCTCTAAACTCTGTGGTTTGGAGATCGTGTTACTCAGATATTTCATTAACTGTTTATCTTTATCGCTAGCAGAGTTGTACCTTACACCTCTAATCGGTGATTTATTTCTGATTATCCTGTGATATACTGAGAAAAGAAAAGTAATCGACGATTTCAGAAAAAACAAATAAACATTTCATACGTACCTCAGTCGATTTACAGGAATCTTTGAGACTCGTCTTAATCTTTTCGTGATTATCTTTCTGTCCTTTGCACGAATAATGTATTTCTGAATGGGTGGAATTGATTTCTTTCACATTTTCTATTGACACGTTGTGTTCTTCGGTTATTTTGTGTGTATCACGTAAGTTTTCGTTTAGCTTTTTACTGATTTCATGTTCAATCTCTTGTTTATTATCATTTAAGGATTTATGGTTACAATCTTTTAGCATTATTACACCTGAGACGGTTTTATCATCTTTAGATTCTACTTTATGATCACAAGTATGATAATCATTTTCAGCGTTTTTGTGAACTGTCGTATGTGCAGGTGAGTCTTGTTGTTTACCGTGGTCATCCTTTTTGTCGGTTGCTGTTTTCTTATCTTCTGTTTTGGCAGTCGGAGTCGTATTCGGGCGTTGATCATCTGTCTTTCTAGTGGTCGTTGTCTTCTTGTCCTGTGAATTTGGTTTATCCTTTTGCGTTTCTACCTTTGAATCTTTCGACTTTGTTGTGACTTTGTCTTTTATTTTTTGTATGGTGTTTTTGAGCTGTAACAGTTTAATAGCATCTTTATTAACATGTATGGGTTCGCGTTTTAATAGTGCATGGTCTGGACTCATGAGACGCTTTTCAAATATCATAATCGCGCTCACTGTCTAGTTTCCAACATCCATTTTTTTTTCGAAGACGAACTCGAGAAAAAACATGTATACTTCGACCGATAATTGAACCGATGCCATTGGGTTCGTTTCCAGGTCGTCGCATACAGTTGTTTTCTCTAGTTTGCCTCTCAGTGGCTATCGCGCCGCAAGAATATGTAAACTAATTAACATACTACCTCTTGTTTCTCTTTACATTACGTTGGAAACTTTTATAGTGAAAGACACACTGACTTTTGTGAGTTCTAAAGACTTTCTTCCTTTCATTTTCGTTTCATCCGTGAGTTTAGAGCCGTAGCACGCTTTTTTCCATGTTAAAAAGTCGATTTAATTCCATTTTATCGAGCCCTTTGTAAAAGACCTATAAATAAGATGAATCAGATTGATACTCACAATGTCCTTTTTGCAACCTTCCTTCAACGATGTCTTCACTTTTTCTATATGCTCTTTCTTGACAACTGTACATGTATAATGGATTTCTGTATAACCATCATGATCAATAACTTTAACAACGTTAACAATGTGTTTCTCGTCTATTTGGTCATGTTCTAATAGATACTCATTGACAATTTTAGATACTGTTTCTTCGAACTCCTTCGAATCTGCACTCAACGATTCTCGACAATCGCAATCTTCTAAGATTAAAGTGCCGGACAATATGTTATCGTTGTCTTCCTTAACATCATGCTTTTCATGATTGATTCTGACGTTACCGGTTTTCACAACATCTTTTTCGTGTTTGTCATCGCTCGATTTCGTAGGCTTCTCAGTTGTTTTATGTGCAGATGAGTCTGGTTGCTTGCTATGATCATCGGGTTTCGTGGTTGTTGGCTTTTTATCGTCTGATTGGGGTTTCTCGTGCTTTTTGTCAGTGGGCGTCTGCTCGTGGTGCTCTGCGGTTTTCGTTGTTACTGGTTTGGGGGTTGTGTGTTTGTCAGCGCTTGGTTTTGTGTCTTTTTGAGAAGATGTTTCGGTTGCACTTTTAGTGACATGCTTGCTGAAGCAGTCATTGACCTAAGCAGAGTAAACGTTTATTTGAGATACTTCATCGTGAGTTTAGCGTATTAAGCCTTTGCTTTTGTGATATCCTATTCAAAATACTAGTCGACGACTAGATTAACTTCGGAAGAAGGTTTTTGCTGTGAATCATGCTCCGATGACTCAATTCCCAACATATGCGTCTTTGCTACGCATCTCGTGACATGCTCTAAACTCTGTGGTTTGGAGATCGTGTTACTCAGATATTTCATTAACTGTTTATCTTTATCGCTAGCAGAGTTGTACCTTACACCTCTAATCGGTGATTTATTTCTGATTATCCTGTGATATACTGAGAAAAGAAAAGTAATCGACGATTTCAGAAAAAACAAATAAACATTTCATACGTACCTCAGTCGATTTACAGGAATCTTTGAGACTCGTCTTAATCTTTTCGTGATTATCTTTCTGTCCTTTGCACGAATAATGTATTTCTGAATGGGTGGAATTGATTTCTTTCACATTTTCTATTGACACGTTGTGTTCTTCGGTTATTTTGTGTGTATCACGTAAGTTTTCGTTTAGCTTTTTACTGATTTCATGTTCAATCTCTTGTTTATTATCATTTAAGGATTTATGGTTACAATCTTTTAGCATTATTACACCTGAGACGGTTTTATCATCTTTAGATTCTACTTTATGATCACAAGTATGATAATCATTGTCAGGTTTAACGTTTTGGTTTTTAGCGTTGATTTGAACAGCTAAATGAAAGTCGGCTGAATTTGCTTGTGTTAGAGGTCTAGTCAGTTTTTAGAACATTTACTTGATTAATGGGACGTACCCGATGACTCACCTGTTTTTTCATCTGGTTGCTTGGTTTTCAAGGCGTTTTGTTGTTGTTTGGTATCGATAACTGGTTGGTTGCTTGACAATGTTGATTCCTTTGTTTGATCAGCTGTTTTTGTTTGTTTATTTTTAGTTGATTCTGCGTCGTCATCTTTCTTGATGGTTGTTGATTGTTTTGTTTGTTTCTGATCTATTGCTTTGTCTGCTGTTTTAATTGGTGTATCAGTTGCGGGTTTTGTTTCCTTATTATCTGCTGTTTTTTTTTCAGCGTACTTATCGACAGTGTCTTTAATCTAAACAGTTGGAAAGTCGACAGTAAGTTTCGAAACTAGGGTAAGTAGTAAACTTACGTCGTGCGATTTACAAGAATCTTTCAGACTTGTCTTAATCTTTTCAAGATTTTCCTTCTTTCCTTTGCACGAATATTGTATTTCTGAATGGGTAGAATTGATTTCTTTCACATTTTCTATTGATACTTTGTGTTCCTCAGTTATCTTTTGTGTGGATTTCAAATTCTCATTCAGTTTAGCACTCATCGTTGCTGCGACTTCCTGCCTATTGTCATTGATTGCTTTATGGCTACAACCAACAATAATGACCGTTCCTAATAGAGTCGTGTCGTCAACAGAATCCACTTCATGATCACTTTTGGTGTCTAATTTCGTTGGCGATAGTTTAGTGTTAGCAGCTTTATCAGCTAAAAATTAAAAATTTGCACAGTTATTTCTGGACTGGTAAAGTTCAGTTTTAATTCTCTAAAAAGTCGTTTATTCAAAAAGTCTTCTTATTCTTGGATGCGGCTTCTATATGTCGGTTTGAGAAGCAATGTAGTCTTAGCCTCCTCACTCAATGTAAAAACCACTCAGCGGTGACGACTTTTCGCGTCTGTCCACTATTGTAGTAAGAAAAGGACTTGAGTTGAATGCACAAGATAGAATACCATAGTGGTCTTCTAGAGAATGGTCTATGTCAACTAAAGCTAGAAGCACAACAGTTAGTACTTAATAATTTTACTTTATTTTCTCCCACCGCTTTTAGCAGCTAAAACAAAAAGAAGAGACCGTCTTAGACTTGGAGGATTCCCGTCACAGTTGAATCAGCGGTGTGTGTTTTTGAGCAGAATACCTACAGCTGTCTTGACGTATCACGTCTAACCTTGAGACAGAACTTGACTGGACAAACTGGTGAATAAGTAGTAAAATCGTAAACCATTATTGTCCAACTTTCTACACTAAGCCAAAAACAAAGTTTGTTCAGATCAGCTAACTTCGACACAAGTTTTAAATGATCATAGTTTTCTCCAATTGAATGGTGTTTGAAGCGTCTCAATGCGCAGTCGCTTAAGAAGGTCTCCTGAAGGGACGCTTTCATTGTTCTCTGTTTGTCGCTAAGTTATTACACAGATCTTGCGTTCTAACATGAAAATCTTTATAATATACAGGCACTTCATCTAAGCATTCCTGTCACATTTGAATGAGTAGCCTGTGGTTTCGTGGTTGAGCAGAATACCTATAGCTGTCCTGACCTATCACGTGTAACCTTGAGAGAGAACTTGACTAGACAAACTGGTGAATAAATAGTAAAATCGTAAACGATTATTGTCCTTGTTCGCTCCACTTAAAAATAATTGTTGCAATATTCCGTTGTCGTTCATCATTCATTTATCTTTGAAGCTAACACTATATTTCCTTTGTGGATGCGGATCAAAAGAAAATCTTAGGGCACTATGTACAAAATATTTTAACGAATATGTGGAGAAAATCCTGACGTTTGATACGTGCGAAAGAAAAAAATGTAAGTCTGTCACATGCACAATTCTCGGGAGACAAGTCCACTAATAAACGACAATTTGATAGACGTCAGCTCTTTAGCATCTTGCACTGAAGATCATTAAATAAGAAGTTCGTACTTCAGCGCACGACATTTGGAACTCCATGAAAGCTCTTTTAGCAAAACAGATGACACCAGAATACTAAATATTTTAACTTTAGAAATGATTTATACTACAAAAACACAGTGCAAAATAAAAACTTTTCAGTTTAAGCCCGAATATAAAATGCTCAAACTACGGTCAGCCAGGACATCTAAATCTCACCGCTCCATCGAGCGATTTCTAGTCCATTTTCTCCAACAATTTGACTGAATCACAAACCACACTCTGGTATCGAAAAAACTTGAAAATTTCAAGAAAGCGCTGTACTGGATCGTTCAGAAAAAGTCAATGTTTTAAGTTTTTGAGTCAGCATACCCAAACTACAAATACGTAAATATAGCGTTATTACATACAATTTGCATGCGTGCAATGTGTTTACACATACAATCAAGAAAACAGTGAACTTTTATAACTCACTTACCTGATGACTTATCTGAAACTTTGACTACTGATTCTGAACTATGTACATTAATCAATAATAAAATCAATAATAAATTCATAATTGACATTATTTTTGTTTCTTCACTCTGTTCAAAGCTAAAACAAAAAGTTTCTAACTTGTTTTTTTATGTCCTAAAAAACCTTTTAGAACATTGGAATGATATAGAAAAGTGAAAAAGCTCGATATTATATATATATAAAATCATCAGATCGACTTATTCAAGGATAATTGATATATACAGATGTTTCAACTATAAACATTGATGAAAATTGTTTTCTTTTCATGGAGGCAAACCTCCTTGCCTGTGTAAATGTAATCGATTAACAAAACAAAAGACAGAACGAATGCATCT